GGTTTAGTGCATATTATTAGATAATGAATCCGTTAACGCAAAATAAAAAGTCAAATATCATTTCTCCCAGTCCTTTAGCTTATCGTTAATCTCAAAGTTATCTTTTTTCAACGAAGTTTTAATTGTCCTCTTGATAGTTACACTAGCCTATTGTCAAAAGATGTAAAGAACCGCTCTAATATTGTTGGCGTGCATTTAGGTCGCTGGTTCCAAATATTCTAATCTTTTTTTAATATAAGCTATAGTTTGCGAATTTTTGCAAATTAAGGCACGATTTCGATAGCTCTAATAGAAAAGCCATTATTTTCCATCACCGTGGAAAATTTTTGTTTATGGAAATGAGTATGGAAACACTGAACAGGCACAACTTCTAGAAGCACTAATTAGTTTACTTATGTTTATGCACACAATATAAAAATTGCAATAGGAATAAACAAAAAATTTTGTTCAGCATTTTTTTATATTGTAAAATAATGTGTTTATAATCTGAACGATTTTCGTCATATTCTTATCATAAATCAGTGACAATAAGTCTCGCCTTCAATTTGGTAATTATTACGTACCCATCGAGTAATATTTACCAAAGTTATGTTAAACAACTTAGAAAACTTAGATGGATCTCTAGTTTTTCTTCTACAAAAATTACTCTTCAATTGTATAAATGACTTTTAAATAAAAACCCGGATTACAGAAAAGTGTGCTAGGGAGTAACTTTTTTTCATTCAAGCTGAAAGCAAGTCAATATCGTCGAATTGGAGAGTCCTCAAAAGGATTTCCCAGGATATATTAAAGACTATTGCATTTACCTACAGCCACTTTTTCACATAATGGAATTAACTAAAATATTTGTACCTAAACACTTATTGCACGTCTCCTACTTTCATATAAAAGCAAATTTAAAAACCGCTAAAAATGTGCTTCTTCAGTGACTAAGGTAACCATTCCGCTCCAATTTTCAAGACTGTATAAATGAAATTAAAATAGGCGTTTCTCACTCTAATTGTATTATGTTAATGTATGTACTTACTTATGTGCTTGAAACTACTATTATCTTATCAAACGACTCCTAATCTTCGACAGTATATGTTTGATTTCATTCCCCACACCACCTTTTTCCACTTTTTTTGTATTTTTCACTTGGTTGCTGAAGTAATGAAGAATTGAAAATTCATAAGGGAAAATTGTGGTGTTTGTAAGTTTTATCTTAATACCTGAAAAATTTGTAGTCTTATTGAAAAATTATATATGAAAGTGAGTTACTAAATTAAATAGCCTTTAATTTGATGTATCGTCCACTTTAAAACACCTATCGCATTCCATAGATATTACAAGCTAAAGCTTCGTTTTCAAAATTCAGATTAAAGATAAGCTTTAAATAAATGTCTCGTGGCCAATAACAATTGGCTTAGGCCTAAGACAACATAATATTACTATTACAATATCGTCAAATGCCTTTTATTTCCCCCCCATACAAAATCGACCCAGCCTAATAATTATGTAAATACTAGTAGATATGATTGCTTATTAATGGTGATTTTCGATATTGAAAGAGGCAGTGAACTTCTCATGTAAATACGTATATCGATAGGGTTTTAAGTCGTTGAAAAACTAAATTCCAGTATGAATCAGCAGTTTTTGAAAATTATGAACTTGCATATATACATACATATTTTTATGATTAGACATATTTTAGCATCTCCGTGCTGTTACTTGACCATTTCAAATACTTACTGTATTTGATCAAGTCTGTCGAAGATTATCGGCCGCTTCATTAGTGTATATAACAAATTAATTTTACGAATACTTAAACCATGAATCTGTTACATAGTGGATGTTACTGACGAGGTTCAGGTAACTAACTTTTTCAATATTACAGCTTCTAAGGTGCCTATGGAAATACATATACTACACGAGCTTGTTTCGTTGACCTTATTGCTTGAACTTATGCTGAGTCTAATAGCGTTTTCTTTTCTCAAAAAAGTGTTGCTCTTTTATATGGGAACTCTTGCTTTGCGTTGCCTTGAACCCTGAGAAAATGTTGCGTTCTTTATATGAGAACTAGCCGGTCTCGTATGCGCGAGGCTTCGCCACGCGCTGAGTATGTACATAAGTACATACATTTGGAGTAAGCAGGTGGCAACCCTATTTAAAAAATAAAGCCTTATTGCACACCTAAGGCCAAGCTCTTCCATTTAACATCTTATATTTTTAAAGCAACGAACGGGGATTAGACAGACAGAAACTTCAGATATTAAAAAAAGATAAAACTTTATTGCACATCCTCGTTTTATATAATTCAATGAACTGAAAAAATCTGATGTTATTAATAAAAAATTACTTCACGTATTATACATACATATGTAAGGCAGTATTTCTTAGAAAATTGGCAACCCCACCAAAAAAATTAAAGCTTATTGCACATTCAAAGCACATTTCACTTTCTGTAATTCAACGAAGGGATCTTATAAGTTTTTAGACAGGCGGCAACCCTGTGGAAATTCTAAATATTAAATATAATACTCCTGTCGATACAGATAATATTAAACAAAATCTCGTCCAAATCCGTTCAGTAGTTTTCAAGATTAGCATGGTCAAAAAATCTCGACTTTGTTTATACTATGTTAGGATAAAAGAGTAATTTTTAAATAGGTGGCAATTCTACTCTAAAAATACATTTTTTCTACATGCGATTGTCATGCCCTTTCATTTGGTATCTCACTTTGTTATCGAAAAAAGGGTGAAGGTCTTATAATTTTTAAACAGGTGGCAACCCTACTCAAAACAGAATACATTTTTGCAGATCTATGGGCTAAGTCTTTTCGTTTGCCAGTGACAGTGCAGAACCGATACCATCGCTTACTAAGATTGAATGTAGTAATATTATTAACAGGTGGCAACTCTGCTAAAAACNACAGATCTATGGGCTAAGTCTTTTCGTTTGCCAGTGACAGTGCAGAACCGATACCATCGCTTATTAAGATTGAATGTAGTAATATTATTAACAGGTGGCAACTCTGCTAAAAACACATTTTTGCCCATCTAGAGGCCGATCGCTTTCAGTTGATACCAAAAACAAAAAAGAGAAATTAAGTAGACAACTACGGAATTTGCGTTTACGGAAACATCGCTTAAATATGTTGAAGAGTTAAAGCCCAAACAGTCAACGACGTAACGTAGACGTAGGTTCACGCAGACACGATCTGCTTTATGTGATTTGCGTGTTAACGAAAACTCACCACCGCATGGCGGTGACGTTGCCGTTGCTTCTCTCTCTATCTATCAACAGTAAATTTGATATGCTGCTACGTACGTCAACCTACGTTTACGCTACGTCGTTGACTAACTGCGCTTTTAGGCCACGTCAAATGACCCACGCAAATTTTTCTAAACAGCGGATTTTGAAAAAAGTGTAGCACTGTTAAGAAATTGTCAGGGACGTCAGCCAGGTTATAAATTTGATTGGTTCGAAAAGTGTTTGCACCTTTGGGTTGGTTGATCAAAACGGATTTGCTTTGAAAAATGTGTACTTTCAAACCAAAGCTTTCTTAAAACTCTTTAGTTTGACACTCCCATTTTAATATATCATAAGTATAGCTAGTGTATAAGTTTACTAAATTCGACTTTTCAGATGGCAATACTATTAACACACTTAAAACTGTTTTGTAAGTAATTCGTTCGGCATTGGGCATGTTCAGAAGGCGCAACAGCTCAGTAACTTTTGCGTTTGCACTTTCTGAACGGGTTATTTTGTACTTCTGATCAACTGAACAGTTGCGTGTTAGATGATCGTAATATTTTTTTGATCATTTGAGACAACATGTTGTGTGTTATTGAATTTGGCAGCTAATGTATCAAACCGTTCAGAAGATGCATTGCGATCAATGATTTTTTTTTAGCAACGGTTACGCTCAACTGCTGCGCCTTCTGAACCTACCTATTGTGATACATATTTCAAGTAACTGAGGATCTGGTGTCGAAGTTAATGGGGATACGCTTCACTTTTTTCTTGGGGAGTATGCTTCGGTCTTCCAGGCTCAGCTATTTGCAATCCCCACGGCCGTGGACCTAGTAATGAGAGATCTGACCATTAAGCTAGAGTTGGCGCAGACCAGGCATTCCTCGGTCCGCAACCAGTTATAGCACTCCCCACCTCGGCTATCGAAGCCACAATCAGAAACTGGGTGAATACTTCGCCGAGGAATGACTGCAGGTGGGCAAAACTCATGTCGCCTTCAATATCGGAAGGTCTATCTAGTTTTTTTGCTCTCACTAAGCAGACGGCACTCCAGATAACTGTTGGACTGCTGACTATGGCACAAACTCCTGACTGTAATAAGTGTACATGAGAACTCTGTTTGCGCATCCTGCCTTGAAGAGGATGAGACGATGAAACACTTTTTGTGCCCCTGCCCACCTTTCTAAGAATTAGGTATGCGGTATTTTCCCTTAGTTCTTTTAAATTTTGAGATCCCATCCCTTCCTACCATTTCCGTCTCCTCTTACTTAATCTACAGTCCCTTGAGGCCAGAAGGACCATTCTATCTCTTTCTTTTGTATTTGTTGTGATTAACGGGGAAATTGACTGCCCTTAACTGTTGCTTTCCATTCAGTTTTCTTGTACTAAGGAGGACTCTTCGTTCGTTTTATCCATTTTATATCAAAAACCTCATTACAAACTATGCCAGGAATGCTCCAATTGCGATTACTAAACTTGCTTTTTCCTTACCAAAGAACGTGTTTTCTAAATTAGTAAATTCAATTTTATTTCTGTATAAATGTTCAAGTCTAGGTTAGCGTTTTAGTCAGTAAGAATCATTGTTAGTTTATTGACTTTTTTGAAAATTAATAAAATAAGTAAATAAACAAATAATTTTTAAGCAAAAAACAAAACCGACTTCAATTCTCATACAAAAATTTTAGATTATCGTTAACTTCTTCACGATCCAATTATCGGATCTAAACAAAATTAGTATTTGACTCTCTTGAGGTACCACCTTTCCGATGAAAAAAGAATTAACATACAAAAAAATATTGCGACGAACTGTTAGCCTCCTCCTTTTTGTGAAGTCGGTTACTAAAAATTTGGCCGCGATGACTTGAGAGATGAACATCTGAGCTCTTTGAAACCCAACAATCGTGCAGGTTTAGACAGGGTGCTGTTTTCTGCAGAGTTGTTTAGTGGCTGGATCCAACAAAACAAAAAAAAGGTGAATCAAGCAGATATAAAGCATTTTCAACCCCATTTTAATTGATATCCGCTCTTTGAAACCCAACAATCGTGCAGGTTTAGACAGGGTGCTGTTTTCTGCAGAGTTGTTTAGTGCCTGGATCCAACAAAACAAAAAAAAAGGTGAATCAAGCAGATATAAAGCATTTTCAACCCCATTTTAATTGATATCCGCTCTTTGAAACCCAACAATCGTGCAGGTTTAGACAGGGTGCTGTTTTCTGCAGAGTTGTTTAGTGCCTGGATCCAACAAAACAAAAAAAAAGGTGAATCAAGCAGATATAAAGCATTTTCAACCCCATTTTAATTGATATCCGTCTTTTGATAATACATTCAACTTAATAATTTGAGTTGAACCTACTAAACCGGTGGCAACCGTCTTCAAACATCTGAAAAACATTCTAAATGTCTCAACTAAAGATTTCTTAAAACATTTTCATTTGACTCCTATACCTTAATATTTCAAGTAACTTGGCTATCATTTAATTAAATTTGACTTTTTAAATAGGTGGCAACCTTCTTCAAAATATTTTCAATCTACTACCTCTTCAAACTCCTTTCGTCTGTCACCCATATAGTGAAACATGTTTCAATTATCTAATATCCTTAATTCAAATTGAATTTGATTATTTAAGCTGGTGGCAACTCTCTCCTTCGTGTAGTTAAGAACTAAAGCCTTTTTAGTGCCATTTCGATTGATTTGAAAGAGACAAAAATTAAACCTTAATGCATATCTACATCCCAAGTGTCGATGTCAAAAATCATTAATTCCAGAGGTTTCCTTTTTTTATTACATTTTTTTCTGTTTGTAAAAAGATGGTAAACTTTTTTTTTACATGTGACTACATATACATATGCATGTATCTATATTTTAGCTATACAGAATTGTTGTTACACCGTACATATGTGGGTACTTATATAGCTTATATAGCATATATTTAGGGTTTTGTTTAAATTTAGAAAAATCTTAGTAATTAAAAAAATAGTAATAGGGCGTTCCAATGAAAGCAATCTTACTTTTACTGCTACATCACATATGTATACATATATGTATATATAAATATTCCGAAATAAATCGCACTTAGAATGTACATAAATAAAATAAAATACTCAATTAATTATAAAACTGATTACATTTCTTATGAGAATTCATTCAGATAGTGTCTTTGAATGCCTTTGCAATCATTTGCAGGACATTAAAATCTCTCATTCATCCGCATACAAATCTTCGTAAGCGAAACGCTTGAAGAGCGTATGTAGTATATTTTTCACAATATCAGCAATGGCCAAGTGAATGGAAGGTTGTAGCTCGTTCCAAACTTCCTGCCAATTTTGATTCAAAAACTCATTCAAATTGTTGCCGAGTGCTGGGTCACCATTGAAGAGATTGGTCAATTTGATGGCCATTCTAGAATAAAGAGGTGCATGTATAAGTAAAGGAAATATAAATAAAATAATGTTGTGTAAAAACTGTTGTATTATATTTATTTGAACATATTTTTGAAATTACCTTTGCGGTTCCACCAACACTTTCAGCTTGTTCACACTCAAATAGGTTTTGCCATCTTTGGGATGAACGGAGGGCTTGAATTTCACTGAGAACTTGGGATTGTGCAGCACAATGTCGGCGTCACCATCACCTTTAATAGGCAAGAAGAGAATACGTCCGTCGGCCACATATTTTCCGCTTAGAACAATTTTCGGAAATGAGCCGTACATTTCAAATTTACTAGTTGCTGGATCACGCTCGAAGCCACTGCAAGTAAAAAAAAAGGAAAACATTAGGAAGGTACTAAAACTAATTAAATTATTTTATTTGAGAGACAGTGCCTCTCGCATTANAGGAAAACATTAGGAAGGACTACTAAACTAAAACTAATTAAATTATTTTATTTGAGAGACAGTGCCTCTCGCATTAACATTCTTGATGAGAAAAGACTGTTAAAAAAAATTATATTTATTTTGAGTTGCATATAATTTCGATACACACTTTATTAGGCTTTTCTTCAAAGAACAATAAAAATAATAACATTTCCAAGAAAAATTACATGCTATTTAATGATAAGTTTAAAAAACATTTTGCTGAAGTTTAAAAAAATCCTTAATTATTTTTTATCGTTGGATCTTGACCTTGAATAACTTTTGGTGGAGGAATTTATGGAAAAAATCATACGAAACTTGTTTACAACCTTCGATTTCTCTTCAATACGTATAAAAATAAAAAAGTCTCTCTTCTATTAATAATTTCTATTTAAAAAGACCTGAATTTCGATTGAGTTAACTGAAAACAATATTAAAAATTACCATAATTTCGTTTAGAATTTTCACCATAAAAAATTAAAAAAAAAAATTGGCATAGCCCGTATAAAAATCAATAGAAATCGTAGTTTTCGAATTATTTTTCCCATTTTCTGTCTGCTTCTCAAGTAGTCTAAAAGTAGTTTGTAATTTCCCCTTATATGGGAAGTAGAAATTCGCGATGGGCGACCTCTTAGTATAAAGAACTGTGCTTTCGACTGGCATATTTTTTCCTTGACCCGAAAATATTTCACAAGGGACTTGGAAAAAAAGTCGATTTTTTTGAACCAGTGTAATATAAAAATGTGTAAGTAGGTTAGGTTGGGTTAGAAGGGCGTGTGTGGAAATTTCCATACTTCCACACGGAGACAGAATTGCCAATTATGAGTGCCATGACGAGATTATGTGTCTTAATCGAGAGAATAGCTTCAAGTCATTCTTCTAATGAACAAATGGTCAATTGACTTTTCCTCATCCTCATCATGGTAGCCTCTGCAGAGAGTACTTGTTAGTATTCGCCACCATTGAAGCATTTTTGCTATAGCACAGTGTCCTTTCCTGACGACGGAAGGAAGGCATCTCTGAGCCGCATCTGGCCATCTCATCAGCAAACTCATTCCCTTCATAATTTCGATGTCCGAGGATCCAGCATAGACTGACGTAGATGTGGCTCAGGTGAGGCCTTCGTGGTTTCTCAAAAATGAATAAGGTGCATAGCATTACTAGATAAACTACATGTAGTTAATCTATCTCTGGCAGCAGTGGTATTTAATGGCTTCCTTCAAATTTGGTGGAAAATTTTCTCTTCTACGAGACCGAGCTGCTCCTATCAAGGGCTGGACATCCCCAAAGGTATGCTCCATAATCTCCCCATTTGTTCCGCATTTCTTGCATAGTTTATCATAAATTTGGCCTAAACTTAAATGTGATGCCAACAAACAGCGTACTGTTAGTATACCAAATCGAAGCTTGGCGTCTTTGTGATCTTGTTATATATGTAATTTTTGAATTTCGCGGCATTGCATTTCTGCAAGATCAGCAGAACCTCCTTCCGTTTTCTTGGGCATCGTGTTGAACATCAAGGACTAGAGCAGTGTCAACAGTACTCCTGTCTTAGGCTGCCTCTGCTGACTAATGTGAAAGTGAAGGTGAACACCTCAGAACTCACCATCCTTTCTATCCATACCATTTTGTAGAGCGGTGTATACCGACCTTCTCTTCGTGTAGAAATGATGAGCTTTAGAAAGCATGCTCTCCTCCACATTTAGTGTGATGTGTGCAAAGGAAACGAACGAGTCTGTAATTTGCTCAACCATCCTCTGGTATTTTGATCCGTTCTATGCAACATAGCGAGAAAATGTTATCTACATATGTAGGCCTAGTGATTTATACTGAGGAAAAGAATTCAATGCCAAACTCAGTTTGGAGTGTGCCATACGATTTTTCAATATGCCTCCTGCATCTATGATAGCTGCACCAGTGTTGGCTGGAGCTTCTACATCCTAATTCGTGTTGGAGTAAGCATTTAGCAATAGCTCTGACTTTTTGATAAATGAAATTCGGTGGGAAATACATCATCCCAACCTATTGGAAGCATCAACAATCAACAAGAGAATATACATCGTTAAAATGTACGCCACGGCTTTTTATGGATCCAAGTGGCCCAATTTTCATTCACTCTGACACATGTATGCGTTTGAACTTGAGCGCTTGCCTGAGATTTAAGGGCATCGGTCGATTGCGGCTTATCGGCATAGACCTGCGAATTTAGGAAACCACACAAAAAATAGGTTTCCGGTGTCAAATCGCACAATGTTGGTGACCAATTCACGTCACCTATGCGCGAGATAAACATACCCTTAACTCATTCATGCGGTCAGTGCATAGTGGCCTCCGCTGTGGAAAATAAATTGTAAGTTAGATAGACCCCACAAAAACAACATCGCCAACACAGGTCTCTAAAATCGACCCGAGCCAATTTCAAAACCATTTAGCTACTTTGAAGGAATACCGGGAAGCCGTCCTAGGCCACTCCCCAACGTAGCGATGGCAGTTCAGCTTTCTGTTAGTTGAAGCCGATGTTATATAATGCTACTATGACTTTTGATTTATTCCACTTCAGTGTGCTATTTGTACCCCCCTTAAAAACATTCCGAAGATACCGAAATCCCAGTTTTTTTTTAAATTGTCATCATTTATTTCATCATCCTATGCATATTCTCTTATTTTTGCATTTGCATATTGATGACATTTAATTGTGTTAATTTGTTTCAGAAACACTTGATAATTCTACTCTCAGTCACTTCTATATTTACGTGATTGTTTGATGGCTAATAAATTCCCATTGCTTCCATTTACATAAGTTAACTTTGGACATTTTCAATTGACAAATTCAATTAGCGTTATTACTTAATTAATTATTACTTAAGGATATGTGAAATTTTTGAAATGAAGGACGCACGAAATAATTTATTACAGTTGTGAAAATAGTAATTCTTGGAAAAATTACAAATGACAGACACGAGAAGCAAAAAACTGCCACCAAATAGAGAACTATCTTTCAGGCTTGTTTTGTAAAATAAATCGCATACTTTTAGCCACGGCTTTCGATGTACGTAAAATGATCTCTCCGAGTGAAAATTAGCTTAGTAAATATAAGTAAAAGATTCAAAATTGAATGGCTTGTATTAAGGGTAATTCTGTTGACATTTTATTTATTTAAGACCACCCGCTGAAGATCGGCCACTGTTTGTCTGTAATTGCAGACAATTTCTTACTTATTAGAAGTTTACAGTTACCAGTGAGAATACTTTTGGTATCATTGATGTTGGCCCCACGAAAGCGAGCTCATTTGTATTGCAATTAACTTCAATTTCGGAATGGCTTGGAATACAGGTTCAGGTTTTTCAATCTCACAGCCATCTCCTTAAAAAATTAGCGCCATTTCACATCCACTTTAGAAATAAGCGATTTGATGGACGCCTGGTTGCAGTAGAAAATGTAGATTTTATTGCTGCGAATCTTACCATACTCAGTCAGTGATGGGGTATAGAGAGTCAAAATTACATTTTCATTTTTTCAACTTTTCCTTCACAAAATAATTTGAGAAATTAGTATTTATTCTTCAAACATTTAAAGAAACTTAATACAGTTGCGTAGTTTAAGTTTTATGAAAATATGAAAAGCTCAGTAATTTTTTTTTAAATGGGTTTTAACTGAATTATTTTTTTTATCAAAAATGTGATTTTTATAAATATTTTAAACGCAGTCTAAATTAACACATTTTTTTCATAAAATTAATTTTTTTAATTTTGTGGATTTATCTGCTGGAAAGTATTCCCGAGCCAAAAAAATTGCTTTGTAGAAGGTTTTTTTTTTTTGGATAATTAGAACATGTGTTATGACTACGGTGACCATATTTATGGGGGCCGAATACGGAGCAAAAAATAATTTTGCTATTTTTTCCACACAAGGTAACAGATCTTAAAACCTTCTTCAATGATCCTAAATGTATTAGAGCTAAAAGAGCATCCTTAAAGTAACATCTCAAACTTATAGGATATTTTTATCGAGATTTTTACCCCACAAAATTTGATACAAAAAACTTCTTAATTTTTAATACAATAAAGTGCATGTTTGAAGTTAACACCGTTAATCTTTGGATTTCTATTTTTTTGACGGTGTTACGCATTTTTTTCGTACAAAGTATGCTCGATAATATTTTTAAAAGAGAAGCAAATGAGCAGCACACATTGCGCTTGCCCTTTATTATAATAAATTTTAATGGGCTACAAAACTTCATACCAAATTTTTCCTAAAGATTCTGATTAAAAAGTATGAAGGTTTGGTGAAATTTTGCAGAATTAATTTTTATAATTTTTTGCTCAAAATCGGAAATTTGCATTACTTACATAAAAAAAAAGAAACAAAAAATAAAAACAAAATTTGGCGTTCCTATGAAATAAAGATATTCCCAGGACAATTGGTCAAAAAAGAGGACTGTCCCGTATAATACAGGACGGATGCTCAAAGAAGTTATGACCAATGTTAAAGGGATATCGGCATTGGTTAAAAAATGAGTAAAAAGTTATTTAATCATATTTTTGGGTAAAAAATTAGTTAAAATTTATCTAATCGTTTTTTCATACTAAAATAAATTGTCGTGATTTTTTTTTTATTTTTTGGAATTACCTGAAAGAATTCTCCGAGCCAAAAATGTTGCGCCCTGTGGTGTATTGGTTGACTGGGAGCACTAACACTCCACAGGACCTGGCTTTCTGTAATCGTATTTTTCATACCAAAATATATTTCCGAGAAAAATTTTTGTTACGAATATTATTTTCCTTATTTTGATTCATCTGCTGGAAAGTATTCCCCGAGCCAAAACTTTGGTCCATTTTTTGGATAATTAGAATTTTGGTTCTGACAAATTCCGCTAGCGGACAAATGCATTGCTTGGAAATTTGTATAAGTATTTGGTAATTATTTAATTAGTAAAAAGTTAGTTAAAAATTATCCGATTATTATTATTTTTTAATTCCGCTGCCTTTGGCCCGTTGGTGAAATGCACCCGAAGAATACCGAAAGTAAGGGTACCCTGGTTTTTAATAGTATCCAGTATATTTTACGTGAAAAAAAGTTTCTTTTTCGAAGAATTGCTATAACCTCTTAAAAAAATTAAAATTTCGTTGTTTTGTATGGGCAATTACCCCGACAAAAATTCACTAAATCACCTGTTCTCACTTTTTAAACACTATTAAAATATATAATTTAACTTAATTATTAAACAAACACATAGTTTTATCAACCTAAGATAGATTATTTTGTTACTAAAAAGAAGTTGACAATCTTTGCGAACTGAAACGATAGCTATAGTGCTGCCACTGTATTAGTATTTCGTAATAATTCACGTTTCCTTACAAGGTGTGTGTAGTGTTCAATGCTTTTCGGTATCTTCTTTCATTTAATATATAAATAAATGAAAATTTTTAATAATAAATCGCGGCGCTTTTTTCCACAAAAATCAATACTTCGATAAATAATGAAAATTTTTAATAAAAAATCGCATGCGACGCTTTTTCCATAAAAACAATACTTCGATATATAACTGTAAACCATAAAAGTAGCGCTGCCATGGTATAGCGAAATTTGCTATTATATTTTGGTTAGAATATTTTATTTAGGTGAAAGTAAAAAAAGAAGAAGAAGGTATAGTGTAAACTGAGTGTAATAGCGCAAATGAAATGTGAAATAAAGTGGCAATACCAGCGATTTAAGGTTATAATAATTTTGGCAGGCGCAAAGTTTGTTTACTCTGTTTTATTAACGAAATATATAAAATAAAAGTGAATAAATTTGCATAAAACAATAACCGGAGACGTTTTAATAGTGTTTTAAAAGTGGAAACTGGTGATTTAGTGCATTTTTGACGTGGTAATTGCCCATATAAAACAACGAAATTTAACAAAAGTTTTTTTGTTTATAACTTTTAAATGGTTAATAATATTAGCCCTCCCCTCCAGATTGTTAATAGGGGACCAAAACCCGTCGTATGGTAACCCTCCCGACTTTTCCGCACCTTTTCTAGGGGTTGTTACCCTATACTAGAGAATTACCTTAACTTTAAATTTCGTGTGTGATACCGATACGAACACATAAATATACTAATTTTTGTATGTAGGATATAAGCTTATCGGCTATGAAAAGGTAGTTAGTATAACTTAAAAATTTAACATTTCATGCATCACAGTTTTATAATTTTTAGATTTCTGAAGGGAAATATAGTACTTGTTTCATAAAAATGTATTTTTGACGTTTCTTTAAATCATATTTTGTTCCGGAAGAACCTGATCTCTAGTGAAAATTTACTTCCTACTTGGCTTCCTCTTTAAACTCTGTGTCGTTTTTCTGAGGAAATTAAAATGTAATCCTATCCTTTAACTTAAATCTAATCCTTAAACTGAGGTTGTTGGACTTAAAGCGGTTTTGATAAAAAATTGCCCGGCTTTGGTTTATCCGTTGATACTTCGATTCTAAAAGGTATATTTCGAAAAAATGTTATCACTTCTTGTAAACGCGATTCTATGATTCTGCATATTTACCAGTTTCAAAAGTGCACAAAATGCGAACAGGCTTAGAAAATTTAACGGAACTTTATTTACAGGTTACAAACTTTTTGTTACCAGCGCAGTAGTGGGATAAATGACGAAAAAGCTGGCCAATATTTCAAAAATCAAAGTTATTCGACTGTTGCAAAACATGGTAATTTGTCAATAGGAAGGTAAAAGGCATCCTGTTTTGTATCTTCTTCGCTAGAGCAGTTTGAATTTGCTATTCTCACTAAAGTTTGTGCTGCTTTTCACATTGGCTCTAAAATTTTGCTTCGGAGATTTGATTTTAAGATAGTGGTTAAAGCAATTAATTGTTTTTTGCAAGATAGAGAGCGTTTCTGACGGTATCTTAAATTCAAAAGGAAAGTAAACAGATTCGTCCAACTTCTGTTGTAATTCACGACTGAATAGCGCGAGTGTATTGTGTGGAGAGCTTACACAGGGCAACACTGATTTTGACAAGTGTTAAAGCTGGTTTTGATAGAATTTTTCCTGCTGATCACGAGTCCGTTAATATAGAGTTTCCATCATTCCATCATCGGTCATTGGCTATTTGGCAGGCACTCTTCAAGATTAGGAGTATACTCCCAAGAATTTTATAGAAGTTGCAAGGAGGAGGAGGAAACAGTCAAACACTTCTTCTGCAGGTGCCCAGCTTTAGCTAGGAGCAGAGCAGGCTTTTTAGGAAAACACTTCTTTAACTCACTCACAAAACTATCCGTTGTAGGAATAATAGCAATCTTACGCTTTATAAGAGCTTCAAAATTGTTCCATGAAATATAGTCAATGAGGCTTCTGTGTTTCACAGTGGTAAAACGATAGACCTGCAGGGTCTAAGCGAGTTGGTCTTTTGGACTGACTGTCACATTGACCTAACCTATTTTTAAACTATTATAATGTTAAGTAAATTTATATACAATACACATGTACATATGGCGCGAAATATATCTGAAAGGGTAACCAAAAATTGTAAACAAAATTTAGACATTATTTCATTAAGGCCTAAAAATGGCTGTTCCACACTGTTATCAGAAAAAAATTAACGAAAAATGTAAAGAGAAATATTTGAAAAAAGCAATATTTGCACATACATACGTTTGTGTATATTTACGCTTAACTCAAAATATAAATATTAAACTCAAGAAAATATACGTATGTACATATATACTTCCATTTATCTGAAATCGGCCGAAAATACTAAAACTGATGAAGCTCAAATAATAACAAAATATTTAAATAAATGTACATAAGTGCATATGCATGATCATAGGCATATTTACGTAAGTATATATAAATGTTTTTGCTCGCACTGCTAGATCAATAGCTACATACAAATGCTAAAAGCTTTCGAATTGACACCATCAGCTGTTAAATAAAAAAAAAAAACTAAGGTTAATGAACTGCATGTATAAATATTGATACATACAACGTTTAACATTTCCGAAATAAAGAAGATCCGAGGAATGCATACTAAAATTGTCGGTAGGCATTTTGTGATTTCCAGCTTTAATTTGCATATCAAGTAGCTCGAGATTGCGCGAAAAGGGATGCCAATTTTTTATTGGCTAAATTTTCTTTGAAAGAATGAAAAAAAGCAAACATATTTACTTGATGAAATCATCAGCAGCAAAAATAGAGATATTCTTTTGAAGTAATGCCCTTGGGTGAAATTTTATGAGGGAAGTATTGCTTTCAACTTTTTTATTTATTTCGTACTAGCAAATACCCGGCGTGCTTCACTGCGCCTTAAACGTATTTTTGTGCTGTTTGATATCCGTATTGTAATATTTCATTCATTTTATCAATTTAATTGAATGACATTTTAAAACAGATGGCAACTCCCCTCAAAAAGATTTTCGGCAGTAAACTTTCTCAAATTTTCTCAGCTTGATACCCATATTGCAGTATTCAATTTATCTTTACAATTAAATTAAATTAAAATTTTCAAATAGGTGGCAACCTTCGCCAAAAAATATTTTCGGCTGTAAGCCTTCTTAAGCCTCTTTCTTTTGACAGCCATATTACAATGTTTACTTTACGTTATCAATTTACTTAAACTGCAATTTTCAAACAGGATGCAACTCACAATTTCTATATGCTAAGTTAGACGTCTAGCTCTAAATCGATGG